TTGCCACTGCTTTGTCTGATGTGCCCGTGGTCCACTTGCCACTGCTTTGTCTGATGTGCCCGTGGTCCACTTGCCACTGCTTTGTCTGATGTGCCTGTGGTCCATTGCCACTGCTTTGTCTACTGTGCCTGTGGTCCATTGCCACTGCTTTGTCTGATGTGCCCACGGTCCACTTGCCTTGTTTAATGTGCCCTTCCAAAACTGCCCCTTAGTGATGTTCATTGGATCCTTCTGCATTTTGATATTAAGCTCCTCACTATGGAATAGAGACTGTGTCAGCCAGTGCAAGATGCCAGCAGCCAGCATGTGCCTGTGTGGACCGAGTCATCTCTGTCTCTCTGTCTCCCAGCTTTTTCCCACTCCCACACCACGTCCGGTGCTCCTTTCCATTCTTTCTCATTTCCCTTTGGATCACATCTGCAGGCGAGAAAGTTGTCATCTCACCACTGTGTGTGTCCTTCCCAAAGACTGTGCTGAAACCAACTACGGTTCTGCAGTTATTCTGAAGACAGTGGTGTGCTTTCAGTGTGGATGAACATCTTGAAGTTGCTAGCTGTGAGTCCCTCATTCTAGGCTTCATGTACAGCCTGCGTAAGCAAAACTCTGTTCTGAGGTGTTTTTGTCTTGTTTTGTTTTCTACCATGGAGAAGCATAGGGCGGAAATACTTGAAACTCATTATGAATTACTGTTGTAAAAATACTAATGGCATAGGGAATGAGCACTAGAAGCCAGAGGAACTTTATACAAAGGAAAACAGAATGAAATTTCACTTAGGCATTCTAACTTTTTTGGTGTATGTATGAAGATGGAAAATAACTGCATAAAAATATAAACACATTCTAATTCAACTTATTACTTTTTTTTGCCTACATTTTCTCATTTACTTCAGTCGCATGATTTTTTTTCCTTTTATTTTATTTTACAATACCATTCAGTTCTACATATCAGCCACGGATTCCCTTGTTCTCCCCCCTCTTGCCCCCCTCCCCGTCTCCCAGTCACGTGATTTTTGACCAGAAAACAGCAGCAACAAAACCCTAACAGGATGGCCAACCTAAAAACCTTCAACACTAAGAAGAAAAGCTCTTGTTACCTGGAAAGGCAGAGGGTTAAAGGGCCTTTTCCCTTGTAATATTTCCAAGTGAAAATCCTTTAAATTCATGAGTACTGAGTGGCTGCTGAATATTAAAAGCATATGGTCATGATTGGCGCTCGGGGTGGGTAAATGTTGCAGCTGCCCATCAGTCAGCTTAGCGAATGAATCACACTTCCCATCATCCATCCCTCTCCCTTCCCCTCAGTTCTGCTGTTCTATAAGAGGACCTCAGCCATCCTTTCATTCATTCGCATCTATTTCATACAGCATAGGTTTTCTCCTTTGGGAGATCTTACAAATCCCCAAACTTTTTACACATCCGCGAATATAGTAAGGCTTCTGCAATACATTTCCTTCAATCCCACCGGGAACAAAATCTCATTGAGGTCTCCATGAGCAAACATGTATCCAACGCCCCCCACCCCACCCCCCAAACGCTATGCTATTTACTCAACTTCTCTTCTGTGTAGGCGGTCAGGAACAGGCTGCATCATCCAGGACAAAGCCGGCTCTGGCCGGCCCTGGCAGCCCTAGAGCCACCCCATTGTGATTCAAGATTCGGGGTGTAAACAAATGCAGCGTTAACAATCAGCAGTTTGCATTTAATGCTTTATAGCCGTGACTGGGATGGGAAGAACACAGTAGTGTCTTTTTCGCTGGAACTGCAGTCGGGGCTTTATTTAGTTTTTGGGCAAGCGGCACCGGCAGCTGCAAGCACTCAATGGGCGCTTTCTAGTCGGCGTGGGCCGCGGGCGCGTTGCCGGGAGCCGAGGGTCTGCCGGGCGGCGGGGGCAGGAGGAAGCGGCCGCCGGCCTGCATCCCGTCTCCGTGACAGGTGCTGGGGAACAAGCAGAGAAAGGAGCCTTCCCACTTGCTCCTCAGCCTGGGCTGGGGGTCTGACACTAACTGTCTAACTGTCCGTTTTGTTTCAAGAACAGAGAACATGGGTGGGTAGAGATGTACCCTTGTGGCTTGGCCTTTCTCTGCTTGGCCAGTGATGATGAAAACGATGACAAAGACCCCGACTTTGCTTAATGACCAAGACTTTGTTAGACACAAACTGGCTGGCAGAGCCTTCTAGATGCTTCATGCAGTTAAATTAGGAAACATGCTGAGGAGAGAGCTGCAGGCCGCATTTCCTGAGGACCAAAGGGGATTACCTTCTCCTGGAAGGATAACTGTGTTTATCATCGAATATCGTTTACCGAGAACTTTTATGTGCCAGGCATCGAATTTATATTCATTTCCTCTGTGGTCACAACCCTTCAAAATTTGATTGTTGCTTTCCTTTCTTTCTTTCTTTCTTTCTTTCTTTCTTTCTTTCTTTCTTTCTTTCTTTCTTTCTTTCTTTCTTTCTTTCTTTCTTTCTTTCTTTTTCTTTCCTTCCTTCCTTCCTTCCTTCCTTCCTTCCTTCCTTCCTTCCTTCCTTCCTTCCTTCCTTCTTTCTTTCTTCCTTTTCTTTCTTTCTTTCCTTCTCTCTCTCTCTCTCTTCTCTCTCCCTCCCTCCCTCCCTTCTCCTTTCCTTCCTTCCCTTCATCCTGCCCTCCCTCTTTCCTTCCTTCCTTTCTTAACAAAAGACAAAAGAGAGTTTCAGAGAGGTTAATCTCTCCAACCTTGTTACACAGTTTATAAATGTTCCAGACAGAAACCCAGCCGCAGCAGAACTATAAAATAACCGTCACTTCCTATGGGAAAGTTCATAGTTCATACAGAGTCCACATTGAAGCCACCAGGTGGTTATGGCCAGGACAGGTGACCTGGCCATGGGAACACAGAATAAGTTTATGATTCAGATACAGGGCACCGTCTACTCTTCTCATGACAGAGAATTACATTACAATTCTGGGAAACTATGCATGTGACTAAAACCTCCTTTCCTTGTAAATGTTTCTCAGCCTGGGCTTATGAGATTGTATGAAATGGTCCATGGCTAATAGGTCGTTTGATCTTATTCTAAATAATCAAACACTTACAAGTTTAGGAAAATAAATTTTTTTTCCAACAGTTTGATATCTAAAGAAAATAGTGTAAAGAGCTTTGCAAACTGTCTTCCTGGTTTCTTAAGGTACATGACTCATATATATTTGTTATAATTTAAAAATTAATATTGATATACTAACTGAAGGTAAACAATAGTTAATTCATATCTCCTTTGTTTTTTATTTTTATTTTTATTGCTTCTTTGATTTTTTACTTGGTGGTTGGCTTGAGACAGGGCCTCGTTCTGTAGATTAGGCTGGCCACTCATTATGTAGCCCAGGTTGGCTTAGAGTTTCTGGTGATCATCCTAAGTCTGCTTCCTAAATGCTGGGAAAGCAGTTGTGAGCCACCACACTGCCTCTATCTGTGATCCCTTGTAGAATCCCATGTTAAATTTACTTGTCACATTGTCCTGGCTGGGCTGTACAGTCTTTAAGAGTTCAGAAGATGGTCCAGTTTCGGTAACCTTGATGGTTTTAAGGAGCCCTGGTAACTGATTTTGTAAGAGGTCAGATGTCTGTCGTCTACTGGTATTTGTCTGATATTTTGTTTTGTTTTGTTTTCCCTCACAATTAGAGCAGATGTAAATGGATTTGGGGGAGGAAGACCACAGAAGTACAATGACAGCTTTTCCCATTACATTATTGGTATGTTGACGGTTGGCCATGATTTATGACTGTGGATGTAGACCACGGCCTCTTGGCTGAAGCAGAGTTTGTAAAGGTTCTTTATAGAATCAACCTATCTTTAAACTGTTGCCTTTCTAGTAGGAATGCCTATCACTCTCACAACAGTCTTACTTCCCCCAATGATTTATTCTTCTTAAAATGATTTATTTAACACCACTTGATTTATCAACTTCTCTATCTCTACTTCCAGTCTTCAAATTATAGTCAACAACTTGTAGCCTTAGCTCAGAGAGAGTATATGGTCCTTTTGCAGTTGGATTGTCAAATCCTGATCATATATATATATATATATATATATATATATGTATATATAATATTCATACTATAGCTTCTGTGCACATGTGAAAAGCCAGAGGCTGGCCTGTGTGAAGATAGGTGTCTATGAAGACTGAGACCCTGAGAAGACACACACTGTTACCCTGCTTCTCCTGCCATACCCCACACCCATGCTCAGCCCTCTGTTCCTCACCTAGGACTCCTAGGACAGGTACCACTCTACCCGGACATCCAGAAAGGATCCCTTTCTCTCTCCCTTCATCACAAACCACCATGAGAAGGAATCCACTGTAGCCTGGGATTTGACCTGAAAGAATGCTCTCAAGTTCAAGGGACTCTTGGTGACATTGGTCATTGCCTCCACCAGCAACCTTTTGGGAAGGTGTACCAATCCAGCCCTGAGAGTAGCAAGAGTGGGCAGTAACTATTAATAGAGTGCACCAGCCATCTTGGTGCCCTGAATCTGTCCACACCCATGGTACAGCAGGAAGTGTGTGAGCTCTGGGTTCTTCCTCCATCCTGAGGTGGTTCATAAGACACTCTGTCCTATTCTGCTTTTATTAACTTTTATTTATTTACTTTTGTCCTTGATAAAGGACTTGGTTCTAAGTGCACATGTCTTCTACCCCTTTTATCCCCGTCTCTTGCTTCAAATTAAAGCAATTGCTACCCTAGCCAGGCTGTCTCATGAAGTCCTAGGAAGAATCTAGCACCTTCTCTTCCCTCTTCACCTCTATCCTGGAGGGCAGAACCTGGGCCTGGAAAAGAGTCCAGGTTCCCCCCTTTCCTTCTCCTGACCCCACACCAGCAGAACCAAGGCAAACACAGACACATCCCACTCTTGACTGACACCCAGATCTCAACCTTGGAGAGCGTTGTTGAGCTTTGACATTGGTGGGATACCAAATACTCTGAAAAGCAGATGACATTGGTTAAACTGATCCATAAGTCACCACTGATTAAATGCCTTAGACCCTTTCTGTCAGCTAAGTTTCAAGCGTGGGAGCAAGGCTGGAGAAAGATGTGGGAAGCCCCTCTTCCCCACTTTCTACCAATGAGAAAAGAGCAAAGAAGACCAAAGGTTACACAAATCGAGCTGGGAGTTAGGCCCCTCATCTTATCTTCTTTGTTACTTTATGGCACAGTAATTGAAAGTCTTATTTAGAGAAGATCCCTGACAAACTGTCATTGAAATCCCTTTGGAAGTAACCAGGGGCACTTAAGATAAGGCTGGATGGGTAGAGAGTCATTACTGTAGGACATGGGGTGTGAGTGGCTCAGTAGTGCTTAACAGCATCACTCACCATGCTCCCACTGCTGATTTATGTGATTTCTTTACATGGCAGGTGCTGTTATTGCATCCTATTTAACAGGTAAGGAAATTAACACCTTTAATGATTAAATGACTCAGCTTAGTAAGTAGTGGACCAACAGAGAACCTAGTCACCATTTTCCCCAAATTAACACTCCATTGCTGTGGACCAGTGAGAGGGTGCCAAGACAGGCTCTGGATCTAGTTTACATCTTGCATCCAGCTCCGTGGCTTTAGAAATAGCCTTTAGAAATAGGCTTTAGAAACTCGTTGGCCTCATTTCCATCTAATGGAAAAGGAGGTCAGAAGAGACCCTGCTCCAGCACTCAAGAGATTCTGAGTGGAACACCATGGCCACAATATTTGCCTTGTGTAGCTAGTAGAGTAATGCTAGGAGTGACTTGTGTCCCTCCGACCTTTCTGTCTTCACCACATGGGTTTATGTGCTCTGAGTTGCTCTTACGTGCTGGAGAATAATAAAGATGTGTCACATTTGTTTATGCTGTGAAACATTTGTTTAATGACCCAAAGATGTGTTGCATTCTTTTATGCTGCATTTGTTTTAACTCTGTGAAGCTGTGTTACTATGCCTGTCTAAAACACCTGATTGGTCTAATAATGGCCAATAGCAAGGCAGGAGAAAGGATAGGTGGGGCTGGCAGGCAGAGAAAATAAACAGGAAAAGAAATCTGGAAAAAAAGATATCGAGGAGCAAGAAAAGAAGGGGCCAGCCACACAGCCACACAGCCACACAGCCAGACACAGAATAAGAAGGAAAGAAAAGATATACAGAAATAGAGGAAGGTAAAAGCCCAGAAGCAAAAGATAGATGGGATAATTTAAGTTAAGAAAAGCTGGCTAGAAATAAGCCAAGCTAAGGCGGGGCATTCATAAGAAAGAATAAGCCTCCGTGTGTTTATTTGGGAGCTGGGTGGTGGGCCCCCCAAAGAGTAAAGAGCAAAGAATAAAAAACAACCAGGCAACACTTAGGTCTTCATTTCCTTATCTGCCCTATTTGTCTCTGGTGTGGTGAGAATGGGATTGATCTGGGAGCCTGCTTTGGAGATGTGAAGGGTTGGGGAGAGCTGCTCAAGTCAAGTGGAGCTGAGAATGAAGCCTGTTTGAAACTGAGGACCATAACTTTGGTCAACTGAACTGTCCTCTTTCAGTTTCAGCTCCCACATTCCCAAGATTTAGAATAGGCCCATCTGAGGAGTCTGTAGAGATTCACTAAGTAATACATGTAAACACGGCTAGTTAGTACTTCATACACAATGGG